GGTATATTTATGGGAACAGAGGAGTTAAAGGCAGTAATAATATCCTTACACTGCAGAGAGTTAGCACATTATATTTAGAGTTCCACATGTCTGATACATCTAAGAAGACTGCTCAATGACGCTGTACCTCAAGATTTGCACAAATTATCAAAATTTGGATTTTGGATCATAATTTTTGGTATTAACAAAGCTAATTCCTTATTTAAATACACCAACTTTAAAAATAAAAATATGACAAGCATGCTAAATTTGGCAATGAGTGCAGGGAGTACACATGGTGTCCCTCTATTTTGCAGCACTCAAGATTATCCCTATGTACCATGTTGCTATAATTTCTACAGATGTTCATGTATGAGCTGCATCTCATACATCAAGTATGCCAGACACCTGTTCTTTGCAAAGGCATTAACTCGGAGACTTCCCTGCCATGTCTCTGCACTTAGAGATAAATTGCTACCACTCACCTCTGGCTGTGTTAAAACTCTTAACAGAAAACTGTGTTTACAATTTGTTTGCATTTTAACCTATGTTAAAGCATGGTAACAACATTCAGCAAGACAAATACAGACTACTAACAAATTAGCAGTGCAAGTATTCAAATTTTTGATCTCTCTACTGATGTCTTCCAATATTTGAAGTAATTAGTAATTAGACAGAACTATCACATCTCCTGGTATATCAAGCACCTCTATATTTCATTCTAGTTACATTTCCTTCTATTTATTTTGAAGACCTCAATCTTGTTTCCTTGTTTAGCTCAGCTGATTAGCCGAAATCCAACAAAGAATTTGAAACTGTGTTTAACTTTAAATAATTACATGAATTGCTAAATTAGTTCACAAGTGAAGGACAAGAGCAAAATGACACAAACAGATCTTCTCACCTGCTTGTCTGGAACAGCCCTGAAATGTTAACCCTTTGCAGAAGCAAGCCTCTAAGAATACTCAAGTTTCCCATTAGCATCACTTACCTGCACACTCATCAGGCATGGACTACCCCTGTCTGCTCTAGTCTCTGTTTCAGACGGCTCCATTCTAATGAGGAATGCCTTCATACCACTTCAGCCTCAGTGCAAAATAGTTGGAAGCGCTGGGATGCATTTGTGTAGGTATACTTGCATTGTTTCAAATACTTCTTCAGAAGTCATAACAATGAGATAGTATTTTTAAGTAATGAGAAGTAATAGCAATTAACAATTTCTTAGCTAGTACAAAATTAATTTTGCTAATCTCTAATACACTTGGTAGGTTTTTTTTTAAAATCAGTAGTGCCATAAATCCATTGTTCGAATATTTCAGTGCACGAAATCTTCAAAATCACTCTTACAATTCTAGAATACATATTTGCCAGAAAAAGACCTCAGGAATGTTTTATATGACACAGTAGTATGATGAAAATATAACTATGTGCCTTTAATTAAACAACACAGTATTTGCATGCCATAAAACAGACAGAATAACAGTTAAAAAATGTAGATAAAAATCCACTCAATTGAGAACATTGATACAATAAGGTTCTTTAATACAGACAGAAAAAAGCTGCTTTATCACTAACAATTTACACACTGATTTACTGAGTTTATTAGCTGTGGGGAAAAACAGAAGAAAATACAGAAAACAGTTACCTCTCTAACCATAATTTCACCACTATTAATCATAAAAAATACAGAATTCAATGAGGAAGTGCAAAGATGTTATTCACACACATTTCTCACTACTTTGAAAAGAACCTTTGGTATTACTTACCTTGGATGAATTTTTGCTTCCTATGCATTGGTGAAGTGATTTGTGGGAGAGAGAGGAACATAAAAGCTTTAGGTTGGCAACTGTTAACATCTATCATTATCTCTAACGTATTAGAGAAATCTCAAAAGAAAGCAAAACTTCAAGTTACTTTAAATTGAAGGAGAATGATAGCTACTGGTTTTACTTTTTTTAATGGCATGATTACCGTCTCCTTCTCAAGTTCATAAAAATGAGTCAAAATATTATCAAGTCCTAATCCTATTTCAAGCACCAGAAATCTTTTCTACTAGCCCATTATATAAGAAGGGAAGAAAAAACAGAACCTAGTTTTCAATGAGTGAAGAAAAATCAGTCACTAATCAAACAAAATGGAGCACAGATTTGTGCACAGTCATATTTCACTTCAGTTTTCTGAGTGAGGAAGTCTGCTGGAACACACTTTTTCAGGTGTATTTACACTCTGTGTTTTACTATGGCAGGCAAGGCACTATTTATGTGTGAATATTAACTTATCAGGAAATGCCAGTATTCCAGGTATGAAAATTCCATCTCTAAACAAGATCTAGTTTCTCAAAAATGCCCAATAAATTTGTGGAACAATGGCAAATGGCTGGGCTTACCATAGCAATTCAAATACCTTTAAGTATTCCATTAACCAGAGGTTCTTCTGCCTATCTCAGGCATTGGAGGTCTGCATCTCCTGGTGTTTACAAGCTTCTTGGTCCTAGGTGAAGTCCAAATTCTTCACCATTTCAAATCATTGAAACTACAATTATTGTTCACCTTCCACATGATTTACCATATCAAATAAGAATTTCATCTTAAAAATTTAATTAACAAAACAGAGCCAATACATATATTCAACTTACTATTTGTCACCTTTGAGATACTGATCTGTCCTTGACCAAGCATTTTCTCCCAGACATATAAAATAGTGTAATTTAAAAAACCTCCCAGGATAAAAGAACAGACAAATGAAAAACTCTCTCAGAAATATTTGTGCTAGACTACAGAAGTAGAACAAGACTGCAAAAGAATAGGAATAGATCAGTCATAACACATGTAAGAGCTTCAACAGGGCAAAGGCTTTTTGAGAAACAGAACAAAGAAGCTTCTTCATGCAGCACAGTGTGTTCATTTGTCTTCCACGGAGACTGATCTGTCACTCTGACTGCTTTACACTTTTATCTGATTTCAGATAACAAATATTGGACTCTCTTCATCTCGTAAGATTTATGAAACTCTGAAGCCAAGATTTGTAAGTTTTCCTTTGAAGAGAAAAGAATTAAGACAACAAAGAATATGTAGTATTAGAACAGTGATTTCCTAAGCAGTAAAATTATTTTCATGAAACACCCTGGAGCAGTAGTATTGGACAATTTTTGTCCAGAACTGCACAAGGGAACCAGCTGGAAAAAATGGTCAGTATAGGAAACAGAAAAAATTAGTATCTTCTAGCCTCCTGTGTGTCATGGAGTTACTTTACCTTTAAGGAAAGTTGGAGTTGCTGGGAACTGCCTGGAGTCTTTTCTCCTGACCAATTATTGGTCATTGCTGAGAACTGACAGCAGTTTAGGCCATTGAAAAGTGGGATCAACTTGTGAACCCTACCTTAAAGTGTAAAACCAGAGCTCTCTTGGTTCTCTTTTGTTTCCTGGCTGTGAAGGGTGGCAGAGCTCCATGCCTCCCGTCCCTGCCCAGGCCATGCGGCCGGGCCTGCCCCGTCTCTCAGCCGGGAGATGGGGGGGCGTGGGGAAGGTTTTCCTCGGGCCCGGGCCGGGCCGGCCTGGGCCCAATCTCTGGCTCGGCAGCAGGTTTTGCTGTAACTAAATTTACTAGAAACTGCCGAGTGAAGAAGGAGAACGGCTCTGGACCTGCAGCAAGCTGGGGCGGTGACTACACTCTCCAGAGCAGCTATGAAGAACTTTCCATCGCAGACGGCTCCAGCTCCTGTTCAGCAGAGATCACCGAACCATCTACAAAAGCCTGGGCAAGATTTTAACTCTTTCATTACCCAGATGAGACTTGCGGATTAATCTTTTTATCCAGAGAGAGAAAAAGAGAGTGATCAACATGAAAAGAGACTTCATAAACTACCAGTGACAGGAAAGAAAAGAAGCTTCAGGAAAGGTAGAGAATTAAGAAGATGCTTTAATTAAGCTGAAATATCTTTCTGTTGAAACTATGGAGATGGACAATGAAGTCCTGAAAAGAACTCCTTTAATTCATGATACAGTATGTAGGGAGGAATAAAGTGTTCAAAGTGTAAATTTGAGTAAAAAGTAAAGTAATTATGGTATAGTGAAGTGCTGGGAGATTTGAAGCCTTGAGAGGCAATGAGAAAACTTTTCTAGTGAAGCTCACTAGAAAACAGATGAAGAAGACTTTTTTGCCTTTGAATAACATCCTTAAAATGCCATCCCTAGACTCATGGCCCATACACACCTCAGGGTGATGTAAAAATGGGAGGAGTGGGTTCTGATAACAGCAGCTCTGGGCAGCTGACATTAGGGCAATAGAAAACTATAACAAAAATAGTTTTCATGTGAGAAACTCCATAAATTAACAGGAAGAAACTTCTGTTTCCCTACAAAGACTGGTGAAAAGACTGTAGCAAGAATTGGGACTGTTTTAACCACCAAAGTTCCAAAGTTTTTGTCTCTGTTATCATGTGAACAAGGAAATAGTGGGTAGATAGGGGATGGAAAGGTTTTTCTGGAAGTTTATTCTGGTGTTCTTATTATTGTAGTTTGTCAATAAACCTTTTTTTTTTTCCTTTTAAGTTGTATGCCTGTTTTGCTCTTGTTCTAATCCATATTTCACAGCAAGAAATAAGTAATTTTCTTAGTTATTGGTTTAAAACCATGACACCGTGGAATTCATTAAATCTCCACAAATAGCCAAATGTCTGCAGACAGAACTGCACATGCACTTGTATCCTACTCTCCCAAAACAGAAAAGCACCATCTTACCCATTGAACTAAGGAACAGCATTCCATGCTCAGAAAAATATGCGTAGGGTGAAAAATCATTTGTGTGCAAGAAAACATAGCAAGATTTTTCTCTCATTTAAGTTCCTCTTAAAATTGACTTAAATGAGTATTATCTTATGTGTACTTTCTTTGTTCATTCTACAGACAAGCAGAAGAATTGACACAGTCAAACACAGATTCATTTCTGTCTTTCAAGGCTAAACACAAAGGAAAAGTTATTTTAAATTACAAACTACTACATAAAGAATAAGAAAATACATACCCAAACCTTCTGATTCAAACAGGCAGGTATCATCCACACCTACATCTCTGCACCAGGATAAGAAATTTGCTGTGTTGTCCCGTGCAAAAAAAGACCCTGAAGGAGCATTGGCTTTGCATGGAATTTTCCGAACTGGTAAGGTCTGAAAAACAGGAATTTTTTATTTAGCTAAATGATATATGCCAGCAAAATACTTAAGTATTATGAAATCACTATGCAAGTTTAGTAACTCCTACCAACTTATTTCCTTGGTCATTAAAGAATTCCAAGCAAAGAAGAAGGAGAAGTGAATTTAACAGCATGAAGTTCTCAACCAAAAAGTCTTTCCAAAAGTCCACACAATGAGATTGAGAGCTGAACCAATATTAGCTACTTCTTAGGAATATTAGGCTTTGGATTCAGTGTTTGGTCCAGTACACTGAATTAAAAAGGAAAAAAATTATAAAGACAGACTTTAAACTAGGAACTGAACTTTTTCACAATTAAGGCTGAATTAATTTCAGTTCTATCTTAGGAGGCAATCACAGTGTAAAAGAATGGGTCTTGAGGCCCAAAGACTACAGACACTTCAGAAAGATCCCTGTCTCCTGTTTAACAACACACAGAAGTCCCCAGTAGACAACACAGGACCATAAATCTAGTAAGTACAAAGTCAAGGTCTATAGAGACAGGCTCTCACTCTACCAGAGTAGTTTCATTTACATAATTTCAGTATCAGACAGGATGCTACAGATACAGAATCAATATCTGTATCAAACAGAGTAATTACCACAGCAATCCTGCTGCCTGCATTGGTACATTTATTGAAACACATAAAAAAGAAGCCCCTAGCATTTAGTTCTCACTTAAGGCTTGTTTTCCTCAAATAAAAAATAGCTGTGATACATGGCCAAGTGAAGACACAAAATGACACATTGTTGCTATGTAACTTTAGGAATGTCTAAAACATAGAGGAATTCAGACCTTAAGTTGATTTGAACGCACTTCTTTTTGATTTATGGAATGTTTACTCCTGTTCTGGAGTCAGTAATTACTCAATCAAAAGTGAGCTAAGATGTAGAAAACTGAAAATATGGTGTCTACTCATTCCTAGCTTAAAATTACTGGAAATCGGAGGCGGGCAGAAAGACACAGGAGTAGGCTTCCCCTTACAACAGCCTCTAGCAGAATAATATCAGTATTAAACACAGCTTAGAAGGAGTTTAAATATTATATCATACATATGACAGCAGCAATGTAATGGCAGAATATGTCTACATGCACAGAGCTACTCATTGCTACCAACCCAATAAGCCAAATAAAAACAGAAAATAGAACAACAGCAGTTATCAGTATGTCACAGGGACTTTCAGATTGTCTTAGATACATAAATATGTCTCAGAGATTTATGTATGTAAATCTATTCCTCAAACCACCATCTAGCTTTCATTCCCCCATGAGTTTTACTCCAATTACGCAATTTATGTTTCCTTGTTTTGGAAAAATTAACTTATGTTTCTAACCATATGCAAGGAGATATTAATACTTTTCTATAATTTATATAAAACACCAACCAATTTTGCATGGTATTTTAAACAAAAATCTGGGTAAACGTTATGTCACAGATACCATATCACCTCCTCGACCATCCTGGAACAAGGAGGGGAAAGCAAGTAGAAGCAGGGAATTAAAAACAGCTATTCTTTAATCCATAATAAATAAAAAAACTACAAAAGATGTATTTTTTCATGGACCTCTAGATATGGAACAATCTTATGGATCAGAGGAGAACAATGAAGTTTAAAAAAATTATCTCTGCCCCATTTCTATTTTTCTGGAGGGAAAAAAGGGGGAAAAAGTGGAAAAAAAAGTTCCTCACAAATCAGTGTTTTGTTTTTTTTTCTCTTCTTAAAAAAAGTTAACAAAAACCTGTCAGCCTAGACATATTTTTAGGCTAGCACTCTTTTCACATCACATTAATTTCTTCAAAGAAACAATGAGTATTTCTTCTTAGGCAAATATTTATACTCTACAGACTCTTTCTCCCATTGAATTTCCTCTTGTTGACTTAGTCTTTAGGAAGAAGTTAATGCAGCATTTGTCTATCTTTGTCTCTCCCTACGCCCTATCCCAAGAGATTTTAACTGGACAAATCTAATAGTCTTAAAAGTACATCCACTTCTTTTAAAAGGAGTCACACAAGTCCCTGACAGCCTGTTGGAAGGTCAGCTAGTCCAGGCTGCAGAGGAAAGCTGTCAAAACAGGACTTCAAATTCATTTTTCACTAAAATCCTATACATAACATTGCAGAAACCTTAAAGAAGTTCCTTCTTCAAATTTTTCAAGATAAGGTTCAACCTGACCTTACCTCTTTCACTGTAAAAGAGGAACAAGCAAAGTGGGCAGTGATATTGGATCAGCACAAAGCAAAATGGGAAATAGACAGCATCAAGAGCTGAGCTACTCTATGAGGGAAGATAATCCAGGGTCAAAGGGTGACCCCACACAACACCACCACAGGCGCTGGCAGCCCTCACTGGCAATGGTGCAGTCCCAGAGCATCACAACAAGGCAATGCTGGGAACATAGGAGCTTTAGACAATTGCTCTGTTAGTGGAGGAAGAGCCAAGTCAGATCCAGTGTGTCCAGGGAAGCAAGTCAGAAATAGCAGAAGACAAGGCTGAACTCAGGGCTGCAGCAGACACTGAGGCCCTAGCCATGAAACCCAGCAAGCAGGCAGCCAGGCTGGAGATGGTCTGTTCACAACACAGGTCTGGCAAGAAGAGGAGCTGAGACAAAAGGGAGGTTTTGGGACATAAGCAGAGTGCAGGTCAGGGTCCCAGTGGAGACTAGTCATGATTATTAAGGTATTTCAATTCCCTAAGGTCTAGACAACTAATATGCAGTTTCTAGTGTTTCAGTGGATTGAGAAACTACTTGGTAGTTTATAAGTAACTCCATCTTGTCAGTACATGCAAAGAGGTGCCATTTCATCATCCACTGTACATATATCATACTTGATCATATTCTCACTGAATGAAATTACCAGCAGCTCTAAACTGCTTTAACAGCATGAAAATCAAACAGAATGAAATTATTTTCCCGTATCATCTCTGCTTGAACTAGAGTATCTGAAGTGATGCATGGATGTTGAATCACCTGAGTTAACAGTCAACATAAGGGGACCAAATAAACTATATCTGACACAACTATAATCTTTGTATTTTTTGATGTATTATGTCAAATTAAAAGCACAAATTCTGGATGATCTACTGTAGATGAACGGTACTGTGACAGGAACAAGATGCCAAGAAGCCAGCTCCAGTATTCCTGGCACTTGCAGACTTGTGCATAAGAACTTCAGAGAGAATGGAAAGGAGATAAGGGTACAGTTACTTAATGTGTAAGAGCAGACCTGCAGTGTCACATCATGTCACCTATCAGTTCCCTCTTCAGTTCTCATCTCTGTATTTTTCTGCAGTGTCCATGTGTTATTTTGTTCTCAGGCTTGCCTTTGCAGAAAACAAGTGAGTCTTCTCCAAGAAAAAAAACCCTGTTTCTAATTCCAGGAACAGCTCAGAAGGGCTGGTGACTTCACACTGAGTTGGTGTGCTTCCACAAAGCTCTCCAGCTCTAGAAAATTCTTTAAACAGCTTTGTGCTGACACAACCATAATAAATACCCTATATTCTTTGAAGTCCTGCTAAGGATATTGCACACTGTTCTGGAAGTCTGTAATAAACCACTTAGATTACCTTAGAACAACTGAAAAAATAAAAACCCCAAAACAACAAAAAATCCTCACCAAACAAAAACCCAAACAACACAAAAAAGAAATTCTTGTGTGTAAGACTGGTGGCTGCCATCTGGCAATCAGTGGAGATTTGGGCTCAGTGTGGGCACAACCCATCTGCTCTCCTTGGCCCTGAGCCCAGCAGCATGAGCAAGTCTCCAGCACTGGTCCTGGAGACCAAGACCTGTTGTGTTGCACAGAGCCTTTAGCAGTACAAAAGCAGCTAGAAGTGAGGAGATAGCAGGGAGAACCTGCACTGCCTCTTTTACGGGGTCACTGGGAAGGCATACAATGCCTGGCAGGAGTGCAGAAAACCCCTAGTGACCCCTTGAGTCACTGTTGCTCCCCAGTAATAACAACATATTAATAAATCTGGTTCTAAATATTTTGTATCTTTTGATTTATGTATATTGCAGTGAATGAATGTAGAATTTCTTTCAAGAAGAGCAATTCAGAAGATTGTTTGTGTGTCAGTAATCACCTGAAATTTCATACACATGACTATCCATAAATTACAATTCTATGTCTTGATAACTAAGACTTTTAAGCACATCATTTAATCTAGCTTCACTCTGAAGTGTAGACATTCATGGAACTTGCAACATACCTTTACAGTTGTAAGAATTACAGTGTCTTTCAAAAGCACATTTTTGGTAGTAAGAGTTACAGCAAATAGTAAGAGCCTAGGTACAGAACATCAAAAGCAAATTTGTGATATTCTTTAGTTTCATAGTGACAGAAAAAATGTTTGATTAACAATTAATTGGTTAATTAAGATGTCCTATACAGCTCAGAAGCACCAAAAACCACATGTAAAAACAAGACATTGTTGCAAACACCTACATAATTTAACAACCAAAAAGACCACAAAAGCTTCAAGCCATTTCCTGGAACAAATACTACACAGACAAATACCCCTGACATTGCATGAACTCACTAAAATATATCAAAGCTTCATCCCATTTCCCACAAGATTAGGGTCTTGCTGAAGAAAACAAAAAAAAATCCCACCCTCTTTTCTATTCAGTAATAGCCCTACCAGGTTTATCACACAAATCATAGGGAAATACTCATATTTTCTAATCACCCACTAAATTTTCCTACCACCTCATAAACAGAAGTCTACTTTTTTAATATTTCCAAAACTGCCACTGTACTGCTCAAACTAAAACACATGAAAGCTTTTATTCAAGAAAGGTTTCATGCACAAATATTTTTTACTGAGTAGTATAAACTGCCTGACTATTTCAAAAGTGCTTTCTAACAGATCATTCTGAAATAATTAGGTTTCCACATGGCAAAACTGACTTTTGTTGACGTAGTGTAGTATAACCACAGTTGCTTTGAAGCAGCAGTGGCCACAATTACTC